GAGCCTCACTAAAGGTCACCAGGGGCCACACTAAAGGCCGCCAGGAGCCTCACTAAAGGCCGCCAGGAGCCTCACTAAAGGTCACCAGGGGCCACACTAAAGGTCACCAGGGGCCTCACTAAAGGCCGCCAGGAGCCTCACTAAAGGTCACCAGGGGCCACACTAAAGGCCACCAGGGGCCTCACTAAAGGCCGCCAGGAGCCTCACTAAAGGTCACCAGGGGCCTCACTAAAGGTCACCAGGAGCCTCACTAAAGGTCACCAGGGGCCACACTAAAGGCCGCCAGGAGCCTCACTAAAGGTCACCAGGGGCCACACTAAAGGCCACCAGGGGCCTCACTAAAGGTCACCAGGAGCCTCACTAAAGGTCACCAGGGGCCTCACTAAAGGTCACCAGGGGCCACACTAAAGGCCACCAGGGGCCTCACTAAAGGCCGCCAGGAGCCTCACTAAAGGTCACCAGGGGCCACACTAAAGGCCGCCAGGAGCCACACTAAAGGCCACCAGGAGCCTCACTAAAGGTCACCAGGGACCGCACTAAAGGTCACCAGGGGCCTCACTAAAGGTCACCAGGGGCCACACTAAAGGCCACCAGGGGCCTCACTAAAGGTCACCAGGGGCCTCACTAAAGGTCACCAGGGGCCGCACTAAAGGCCATCAGGGGCCTCACTAAAGGTCACCAGGGGCCTCACTAAAGGTCACCAGGGGCCGCACTAAAGGCCACCAGGGGCCTCACTAAAGGTCACCAGGGGCCACACTAAAGGCCATCAGGGGCCGCACTAAAGGTCACCAGGGGCCACACTAAAGGTCACCAGGGGCCACACTAAAGGTCACCAGGGGCCGCACTAAAGGTCACCAGGGGCCACACTAAAGGCCATCAGGGGCCGCACTAAAGGTCACCAGGGGCCACACTAAAGGTCACCAGGGGCCGCACTAAAGGTCACCAGGGGCCACACTAAAGGCCACCAGGGGCCGCACTAAAGGTCACCAGGGGCCGCACTAAAGGCCACCAGGGGCCGCACTAAAGGCCATCAGGGGCCACACTAAAGGTCACCAGGGGCCGCACTAAAGGTCACCAGGGGCCGCACTAAAGGTCACCAGGGGCCACACTAAAGGCCACCAGGGGCCACACTAAAGGCCACCAGGGGCCACACTAAAGATCACCAGGGGTCGCACTAAAGGTCACCAGGGGCCGCACTAAAGGTCACCAGGGACCGCACTAAAGGTCACCAGGGACCGCACTAAAGGTCACCAGGGACCGCACTAAAGGCCACCAGGGGCCGCACTAAAGGCCACCAGGGGCCACACTAAAGATCACCAGGGGTCGCACTAAAGGTCACCAGGGGCCGCACTAAAGATCACCAGGGGTCGCACTAAAGGTCACCAGGGGCCGCACTAAAGGCCACCAGGGGCCGCACTAAAGGTCACCAGGGGCCGCACTAAAGGCCACCAGGGGCCGCACTAAAGGTCACCAGGGGCCGCACTAAAGGTCACCAGGGGCCGCACTAAAGGTCACCAGGGGCCGCACTAAAGGTCACCAGGGGCCGCACTAAAGGTCACCAGGGGCCACACTAAAGATCACCAGGGGCCGCACTAAAGGTCACCAGGGGCCGCACTAAAGGTCACCAGGGGCCGCACTAAAGGTCACCAGGGGTCGCACTAAAGGCCGCCAGTGGCCCCGCGGGCATTGCAATGAAGAAGCAGGATGCTCTAAGATGGTGGTGCATCCTGTTCTTACACGCTGGCCAGACGAGCTTTGAACGACGATATGGGGGGTGTACCCACACGTTACCCCACCGCGCACGAACTGATCCGCCGGAGGAGAGCTCGCTGTCTCCAATGGAATATAGGAGGTGGGCCAGCTTGCCACTCGCAGCCACAGTGGAGGGAGGTACGGCAGCAGACTGGATGTGGTGTGCCGCGTGTCTAAACTATTAAACGCACGAAAAAATGTTTGACTCTTTTGTTATTTTACCAGGTGCAAGGGGCCCCACTGAGCGGTATAGCTCTCTTTCGGACGTGGCCTGGCTATCACGAATGATAGCGCAACGAAGCAGTGGCTTGTCATTATCGTCGTGTGGAGATTCACAGCAGCCGAACACTCTAAACGCGTGACGTTGACTTTAAATGTGGAGGAGAAAAATCCACTCGACCACGGGAGAGAGAGACACCGCAAACTCCAAATATGCAGCAGCGTCAGGGTCAGTGTTGAACCCACAACCACTTGTACACCAGGCGAAGTAGTCAACATCTCGCCACCGCGACCCCCTGTGTATTGCTGGTATCGCAATCCGAGAACCGCTGAAATAAAATCCCCGTGTGGGTCTCTATCTAGATTTATGGATCTCTGTCAGTGAACAAGAATCACATTTGTCAGTAACCACTGCCTTTGTTGGTGCTATGAAGAAGGGCCGATGTCCGAAACGTCGTCTTCTGTACATGTTTTGTTTGTTTGCTTTTATGGACGCACGGTGTTGTTGACGAATGCGTTGAATTATTATCGGTAGTGTAGCAACTACATTATCAGTGTAGTGACTACGTTATCAGTGTAGTGACTACGTTATCAGTGGTGTAGTGACTACATTAGCAGTGGTGTAGTAACTACATTATCAGTGGTGTAGTAACTACATTATCAGTGGTGTAGCGACTACATTATCAGTGGTGTAGTCACTACATTAGCAGTGGTGTAGTAACTACATTATCAGTGGTGTAGTAACTACATTATCAGTGGTGTAGTAACTACGTTATCAGTGGTGTAGTCACTACATTAGCAGTGGTGTAGTAACTACATTATCAGTGGTGTAGTAACTACATTATCAGTGGTGTAGTAACTACATTATCAGTGTAGTAACTACATTATCAGTGTAGTAACTACATTATCAGTGTAGTAACTACATAATCAGTGACTTAGTAACTACATCATCAGTGACGTAGTAACTACATTATCAGTGTAGTAACTACATTATCAGTGGTGTAGTAACTACATTATCAGTGTAGTAACTACATTATCAGCTCAGGGGGTGCGGCAATCAGTCAGGGGGGGGTCACCCAATATTTGATTTGTCTCGTGGCACGGTGGCACCTCGAGGATCTTCTCCATCGCGGCTTCTCTTGACCGAATCGCGTCGTCGTCGTCGCTCTCACGGTCTCGAACATTTAACGCTGTCGGGGCGCACTCCGTCTTCGCAAAAAATGCAGCCACCGCAGCTCCGCAGTTACCTCTTTGCAATACACCACGTGACTGCTCTGATTACATTAAAGTAAAACGTGGAGCGCGAATGAACACGTTTTTTTCGCGAGATAAAAATGTGACCGCGTTTTTAATAACTGCGTTGTTGTTGTTGTTTGACACTGTTGTTGAGAACAAATCTCATGGTCCTTGTCAAGGAGGGACCCCCCCGGGGGCCCCCCAAACTCGGAACATTGGCTACCAAGAGGGGGCGCAATGACCCCTACCCCCATGCTCGTTACGCTACGAGTTGTAGCGTTCGTGGCGGGTCACGTGATCTCCCTTTGCAGCCACGAGGGGGCGCTGCAGTCGCCACAATGTGAACAAAATTATAATAGGGGGGGGGGGTCTCCTCTCTTTACTCCTCTACTTACGAACATTCGACTTTCAGAGATACGAACGAACCAGGTCCGCGTGTCCAGTTGCCTGTTCGTACCGAGAGTCGTGAGTTCAACCGCCGCGAAATGGATGGAGGTGGTGGCGTCTACATCTACAGAACGTGAAGAACCTGTAGCATCTACATCTACAGAACGTGAAGAACCAGTGGCATCTACTACATCTGCAGAACGTGAAGAACCAGTGGCATCTGCATCTGCAGAACGTGAAGAACCAGTGGCATCTGCATCTGCAGAACGTGAAGAACCAGTGGCATCTACATCTGCAGAACGTGAAGAACCAGTGGCATCTACACCCACAGAACATGAAGAATCAGTTGCATCTACATCTGCAGAACGTGAAGAACCAGTGGCATCTACATCTGCAGAACGTGAAGAACCAGTGGCATCTACATCTGTAGAACGTGAAGAACCAGTGGCATCTATATCTGCAGAACATGAAGAACCAGTGGCATCTACATCTACAGATTATACACATTTTAAAGCCATTACCCGTGTTTAGTGTACATGGCCGTATAACATGTTTGGAATCGACAGGAGTAAAGTTGGACTTACGAACAGATCTTCTTACGAACATACCTCTGGAATCGAACTCGTTCGTAAGTAGAGGAGTCCCTGTAATCGATTCTTAAATCTAATCCTTGAGAGCTATTCAAAATAAGAGACATCAATCCCTTTCATCACAGATATAAATGTAAAATGTGTCATATCCTGGGCCTCCACTAGGGCGACTCGACCTTAAATGAGTACCTGGTGCAGTGTGCAAACATCGCCACTAGGGAGACAAAGGCGGCCCCCCTCGTGTGTCGTGCCGACCTTTAAAGGTGCTTCTCGCTAACAGCACTTGCCCCTACAGTCTGTTAAGGCTACACCGGGGATCTTTGTTTTTTGACCCTGTGCATTCACGCACATAGCAAAGCAAAACTATCCTGTATCAGCAAATACTTTGTTTAGTTTCAATCAAATCCCTTAATCAAATAACAGAGCTCGAATGAAATGAGTTGTTCACGGCTGAGGATGATGATGATAATGACGAACATCGGATATAGTTTTCCCAAGTAATCGAGGCAATCACTTGGATGGACCATGATGACGAATGAGACCCGTCAACCGGTCAATCAACTGGCCGACCAATCAACTGCTGGACCCGTCAACTGCCTGACCCGCCAACAGACCAATCAATCAATCGTCCAATCGGCTGCCCGACCTGTCAACTGATCAATCAACCGGCTGACCAATCATCTGCTGGACCCGTCAACTGCCTGACCCGTCAACAGACGAATCAATCAGCCGACCAAACGACTGCCCGACCCGTCAACCGATCAATCAACCGACCGACCAATCAACCGGTAAATCAACCGGCCGACTATCCGTTACCTTGGCTCGACGCGCACACAACCGCGGCCAGCGTGGCCCACCAAGGCCTCCCGCCCCCCTCGGCTTCCGCGGGCCTCTCCGACGACGAGTCGGGCGACGGCGACGACGACGACGGCGGCGTCGACGCCGCCAGCCCTCCGGGCTGCTCCTCGGTGGAGGACTGCCGCCCCCCTTCCTCGCGCAGCGCGTCCTCCAGGGCCGCCGTCACGTCCCAGCGAGACTCCAGGACGGGGTCGCTGGGCGTCGGTGGCCGCTGGGGGTTCGACGATGATGGCGCCCCTCCGCCAGCTACGGTGCCGGTGGTGCCGGTGGTGGCGGCGGTGGCGGCAGTGGCGGCGGTGATGGTGGCGGTGATGGCGGTGATGGCCGCACCGGGACAAGCCTCAAACTCGGATCGCTCGGGCACCTCGATGCTGGGAGACAGACCCTCCGACTTGGACGAATCGTCCGTGCTCTCGCCCGAAGATGCTGCTGCTGCTGTGGTCATAGGTGGTGCGATCGTTGCAGACGGAGGTTGATGACGATGGGAAGATATTGTTGATGGCGGCGGCGGTGGCGGTGTTGGTCGGGTCGGCTGGGCGCTCACCATGTGGAAACTCATCATGTCCTCCTCCTCTTCATCGTCGTCGTTGTCGTCGTTCCGCGGTTGGCGAGCGGTCCCCTGGCTGATCGTCGCGGCTACATCGTCGCGTTTCCTCGGCCGGTCGCTCGCTTCGCCTCGCGCCGCCGTCATCGCCCGCGTCTCTTCATCGCCGGGGCCCGACCTATTCCCGTCGTCGCCGTCGTCACCACCGCTACCCTCACCATTGTCTCCTTCATCGTCACCATCATCACCGCCGTCATCGTCGTCGTCACCGTCGTCGTCGTCATCGTCATCCCGGCACTTCGCCTCTTGCATTTCTGCCGCCGCCGGCGACACCTCCTCCTCCTCCTTCTCCTCCTTCTCCTCCTCCTCTCTCCGCTTCTCGGCGTCCTCGTCCCGTGCCTTCGACTCCGCGTCTCCCCCCTCTCCTTCCCCCTCCCCGCCGCCACCGCCCCCCTCGCCGTCGACCCCGCGGCGACCCCTCGCCCGCACCACCGACCCGATGGACGCCTCGGACGAGCCGGATTCGTCCGAGCTCGTGGACGTGTCCGAGCCGCCGTTGGACAGGAGGAAGGTGTGCGGCTCGCACGCCCGGCCGGGGCCCGAACCCGCGACCCCCGAAGCTACGAGGTCGCCCTCGTGCGACGGCGCTGCACGGCCCGAAGAGGAGAGCGAGAGAGCAGGAAGCAAGGGAAGCCGGGGAGGGAGGGAGGGGGGCGGGGGGGGGGAGAAACCGGAGCGGGAGGAGGCGGAACACGAAGAGACAGGGACCAGGGGGGAGAGGGAGAGACAGAGAGAGGGAGAGAGACAGGGAGAGAGACAGGGAGGCGTGCACACACCGATTGCTCACCGGGAAAGTTTGCAGAGAAGCAGAATTCAACCCCCCCCCCCCCACCCGCTGGCACTGCAATGAGAAAACCAAGCACCAGCAGCCGAGAGATTGTGGCAGGGGATGTAACAATGGGGGTGTAATAATGGGGGTTGTAACAATGAGGGTGTAACAATGGGGGTGTAACAATGGCACCACCACCACCACGTGACGCTCAGCTGAGCTCTTTGGTTGTTGGTCAGTTTGTTGTTGTTCTTAAACAAACATCCTTTTACGGAACCGAATCTCGCGCCACGCGAACACGCGGGAAGCGCGCGTGGATTAAGATGTTTTCAGCCAATTCATGATGAGCTGTTTAAAAGAGCTTCTTAGCTCATCGGATCTATCCAGGATAAATACAAATTCTAGATTCTAAAACCCACCGACATCAACGTCACTTTACACCGACCGTGAGAAGCTATTTGTTTGTGATTAAAGAAAATATTTTTTTGGGGGGCTGATTGAATTTTCAATTTCAGATGGACAATTTCAGATCTTTTCCAGGTTCGTTCCACCTACGAACCGAAGATGTTTACGCGCTTAAAAACCCGAGGCCGCACGGGTGGGGGGGGTGAGAGCCGCCAGGCTGCTACCTCTACCACTGTCACTGTCCACGTGTCCCCCCTTGAGCCTCCCAGAAGTCCGGCCGCCTCACGTCACGAGGTGCCACTTGAGGATCAATTAAATTCCTTCCCACCGAGGAGCGAGAATCGCGTGAGGTGGTGAGCAACGTTCCCAAGGCGCTTCCTTTAAACGTCGGGTTTGGCCGTGAGAGAGAACCGATTTGATTGGGCAAGGGCAGTGGTGGTGATGGTGGGTGGGTGGGGGTGGTGGGTGGGTGCGGGTGCTGGTGGGTGTGTGGGGGTGGTGGTGGGTGGGTGGGGGTGGTGGTGGGTGGGTAGGGGTGGTGGTGGGTGCGTAGGGGTGGTGGTGGGTGGGGGTGGTGGTGGGTGGGTGGGGGTGGTGGTGGGTGGGTAGGGGTGGTGGTGGGTGCGTAGGGGTGATGGTGGGTGGGGGTGGTGGTGGGTGGGTAGGGGTGGTGGTGGGTGCGTAGGGGTGGTGGGTGGGTGGGTAAGGGTGGTGGTGGGTGGGTGGGGGTGGTGGTGGGTGGGGGTGGTGGTGGGTGGGTGGGGGTGGTGGTGGGTGGGTAAGGGTGGTGGTGGGTGGGTAAGGGTGGTGGTGGGTGGGTGGGTAGGGGTGGTAGTGGGTGGGTGGGGTGGTGATGGGTGGGTGGGGATGGTGGCGGTGCAGGCGAAAAGCTCCAGAAGGACATCGCAGAAGCTGCAGGGCAAGCGGAGGGCACACGGAAATAAAAACCATGGGAGGAGGCCGTGTGGCTCTGGGGAGTCGGAAATTGCTTGTGCCTGAGACCCGAGTTCGAATCGGGGTTACGGCCGCCCAACCACAGCGACTACACCGGCTGGATCTCGAGTTTGCCGAGCAGTTGATGGTCTCGGAGCCAAGGCCACCAATTGCTCTACGTAAAGAACCCGAGACTCACAGAGAGGTTCCCTAGAGAGATGCATAGACTTATATCGTGTGGATAACGCACCTCTCTCTATGCACATGCTCTGAAGAAGGGCCATTGCCCGAAACGTCGCCTTTTATGTATTAAATTTAAGGCCACACTCGGTGTTATCGACGCAAGCGTTGCTTTAATTTTGTATATATTAACCAAATGTGGGTAGTATGTCAATTTTTTTTCTCATGTCTTTAAGATTTTATAATTTCATGTTGTGTACTAATGTAATGGCACTTTTGAGTGGTTGATTTGTGCCCGAAAGAGGACACACGCGCACGTGCTGTGCTTAAACATAACGATACAACTGACTTGTGCACCGCTGCCTACGCAGCAGCAGAAGCATCGACAAATCAATTTCTGCACGTGGATATGGGGTCACTTGAAGGGAACCTCCGAGGCAGTTCTGCGATATCTGGTTCCGCGGGATCGTCAGACTCTAGCACGCCGGTGGTGCTCACTGGCCGGCGCGTCGCCGATGACGGCACAACCGGAGTAATGATTGAACAAAAAACAACACTCAAAATAAATACGTGGCTAGGGACGCACATCGTAAAAAGCGCAAACGGTTCACAGACGACCAACCACCACGTGCTGAACCCTCCCTTACCTGCAGCGCTGGCCGCCCCGGAAGCAGAAAAGAACACGGCCGGATAAACCTCCTCCTCTAGCGGCAACGTGCCCCCTCGCGCCGCCCTCGCGTCGTCATCCTCCTCTTCCTCATCCTCGTCGTCGTCGTCCTCATCCCACGGGGCTGGCTGCTGCTGCTGCTGCTGTTGCGGCTGTTGCGGCTGCTGCGGCTGCATTTGGAAATCCGCCGTCAGCTCGCTCCACGGATCTTCGTGCGGCTGCCACGGTTTGTTCTGCTGCGCCGGCTGTGCCCGCCCGGGCCCGATGAGGACGTACGGCGGCGACGACGGCGCCGGCACCGACGATGACGGCGACGGTGGCGGCAGCAACGACGGCATCGTCATCGGTTCAACGAGGTCGGACGCCCGGCCATCGAGCGGCGAGCCGGACGCTCCTCTTGCTCCTCCCTCGTGGATGTTATCGCCGTCATCGTCGTCGTCATCATCATCGTCGTCGTCGTCTTCGTGGTCATCATTGTTATCGCGGGCTCTGAAGGAGGAGTAGGGGACCGTGTACGACGACGCCAGGCTTGACGCAGCCGCCGTCTCCTGCACCGCGTAGCCTTTGGTGCGGTCATCCTCCACCTCGTCATCGTCGTCGTCGTCTTCGGAGTCCCGTGCGGTCGCGGCGGTCGTGGTGGAGGCAGTGGAGGCGGCGGTGGCAGCGGTGTCGAAGGCCGCCCCCCGGTCACGCTGCAGCTTCAACACGTCGCCCACCTTGTCGTCATCGTCGTCATCATCATCGTCGTCGTCGTAGTCTAAGGCCAGGCTACTCTCGAAGGTGACGGAGATCTCGCGAAGTCCGCCGACGACGATCGCAGCCGGAGGGAGCGACGGACCGGACTCCAGGACGATGGGCACCTCGCGGTACCCGAGGGGGGTGGAGGAGGAGGAGTGGGGGGGCGCGCACGGGAAGAGGTCTGGGAGTCCCGGGGGACCCGAGGGGGCCGAGGGGCCGGGGGGCCCCGTGAGGTCAGACAGGAGAGCGTCGATGGCCGAGGGGAGCTGTGAGAGCGGCGGGGCCCCGGGGATCAGCGGGGGCCCCTGCGGCGGAGGGGGCGCACGCACGAAGGAGGCTGCGCGGACACAAGGGGGACGGGGGGCGACAGGGAGGCAAAAGGAGACACGGCGACAAGGAGGGACAGGGGAGGGACAGGGAGACGTGCAGGAGGATGCAGGGAGCAGGAAGTCGCGGGAGGGGGGGAGGAATGGAGACCGGGAGGCACGGGGAGATGCAGGGATGGAGAGACAAGGCGAGGGACACAGAAGGAGAGGCAGGGAAAGTGCGACAGATGCAGGGAGACACAGGGACGGGGGGGGGGGGGGGGTTAGGGACAGAGATTTACAGGGAAGGACCGGGAGACACGGCGGGAGAGGATGAACACGGGTAGGGAGACAAGGATGGAGAGACAGGGGAGGGTGGCCATGCGGATGAGAGGGCAGGTAGGGGGAGGGGGGGAACGTGGAATGGGAGAGAGAGAGAGAGAGGGCGACAGACAGTGAGCAGTAAGCAATAACAGCAGGCGACAGGCGACAGGCGGCATCCAGCGTCAGCGTCCAACCTGGGCCACTCGCACGGGGCAGCCTCAGGCCGAGTCTCAAGGTTTGCTATCAAAGAGGGTCCTGTGCTTGGCCACCGGAGCGTGTGGGGGAGAGGCAGTGGGGGTGGTGAGTGTGAAGCGCCCGGAGAGAGCGGCACCGGGACAAAACAACAACAACAACGCCTCCTTGCCGAAGGAAGACGAGGAAATAGAAGGGGCGGAGGGGGAGGCTTGTGGCCGACGTCCCACGCACGGGAACGTCCAGCCGTGGTGAATGACCCGCAGTGAACGGAGAGGCGGCCACACCATATTTCGGCCACACCATATTTTTCGGCCACACCATATTTTTCGGCCACACCACATTCCGGCCACACCATATTGCGGCCACACCACATTGCGGCCACGCCACATTCCGGCCACACCATATCGCGGCCACACCACATTGCGGCCACGCCACATTCCGGCCACACCATATCGCGGCCACACCACATTGCGGCCACACCACATTCCGGCCATACCGCAGTCCGGCCACACCGCATTTCGGCCACACCGCATACCGGCCATACCGCAGTCCGGCCACACCGCATTTCGGCCACACCGTGCTGTCGACGCGAAGCGGCATCGCGTGGCCCCAAAACCACCCCGCGCGCTATGTTCCGCGGCCCCTCGCACTTCACAACACCGGCGTGGTTTTCCGTTGAGATCCCTAGAAATGTTGGTGAAAAATTGTCCAAATATGTATCTTTCATATATAATATATGTATTATTATATAATTATGATACATGTTATATTATTGAAAATATTATAATATATTATACAATGTTATACAATATATTATGATATTATTAAATGTATATTTAAACATTTTATTTTTCGTAAATGTCTAAATCTCGCGGAGCGGGCAAAACCAAGCAGCTTGTGAAACGGCGCAGACGCGCCACGTCTACCCCCCACGTCACCCCCGACTCCCTCGCCGCCCCCCCACCACCCCCATTTTACCACGGTGCTGCCGAATAACGACTGTGCACTCCGGGTATTGGCTGCGTGGTCTTCATGTAAATAACAGGGAATTGGTTAGTGAAACTGATGCACCGGGGGGCACCTCCACCGGCGCGTTAGCCCCGGTGTTAGAGACCCTGTGCGTGTTTCCCGACCCGGCCACGGGTTGCCACCTCTCCTGGTTCGAATCGGTGCAGTCCGGGAATCGGCGTCCGCGTTTGGAGCGGCAGCAATCGATTTGTAACCGAGATCTGGTGCCGGCGGCGTTGTGTCGGATTTCATCGCAGTAAGAGAACACACGCCACAGCGCTGGCTGAGAGATCTGTCTTGAGGGTTTGGTCTGAAGTGAAAAAGGTGGCAGCACTACCACCCACCCACCCACTCACTTAACCACTAAGCCACACACACACCCACTCACTCGCTCATTCATGTTCCTCGTCAGTAAATTACCCATTCACTCACCTACCCACTCGGGTTCCTAGAAGCCGGTTACCACCTGTCCAGGTTTTAACCTGAACACGTGGCAGCCGGCGTCTGCGACTGAGACGTAGGTCCGGGTTTGATCTGCGCAAGAGTTGGCAACCCGACTCACAGCTCATCCCATTCCACTCGTACTCCCTCCGCCACCCCCGCCCCCTCTTCCCGAGCCAGCTCCACATCTCCTAGGGAGACGCAGATTACATCGCTTGGCGTTAATCACATCAACTCGCCCTGTACATTTGTGCTCGAGTGTTCGTGTCCGTTAATTTAAAAATGCCAACGTGTTATAAGTTGGGCGGGGGGGGGGGTGTGATGGGGGGGGCTGGCTTGTGAAGCATTGCCATGGAGATTTGGCTCACTGCTCTTTAAATCCGGTGACCCGAGTTCTATTCCCCTCCCACCAGCATGGTGAAGTATGGTCAACACCCCCCCCCCAACCCTGGAGTGGAGGTACGGTAAGTCCTCGTTGAATGTGTTAGATGCACCGCATCGTCGCTCACCCCAACAAAGAAACATATCCACAATAGAGGTGTTTTTTTGGGTTAGATCGCGTAAATATATAAATGTGTCGTTAAACCCGCCACCACCCGACACAGCCGACTAGTAAGGGTTGCCACGTAAACAGAACGTGCCAATTCGTCACGAGTACAGCACTAGTGTATAGTGTAGTGTATAGTGTAGTGTATAGTGTAGTATACTAGTACAGCACTAGTGTATAGTGTAGTGTATAGTGTAGTGTATAGTATAGTGTACTAGTACAGCACTAGTGTATAGTAGTGTATAGTGTAGAGTAGTGTATAGTGTAGTGTACTAGTACAGCACTAGTGTATCGTAGTGTGTAGTGTAGTGTATAGTGTAGTGTACTAGTACAGCACTAACCGGTGTGTTGGAGAGCAAATCCACAACATTTACAATCCGAATAACGACGTTTCGCCAGCAATTAAAACCGGCATCATCAGGTCGACAGCCAGATTTGTGGAGAAATCCTCCTGATTCGTTCCTTAAATAGAGGGGTTGATGTGATGCCGTCACTTGTGAGCTCATCTTGCGCGAAGTGGAGGCGGAGATTAACGAACTGTCGGGGCAAGTGCTGTTAGCGAGCAGCACCTATGAAGGCCAGCAAGGCACACGAGGGGGTGGGTGGCCAGCACCACGCCCGGCTGCCTTTGTTTCCCTAGTGGCAATATTTAAACACTGAACAAGGTAAAATACTCATTTGAGGCTGAGTCGACCTAGGGGAGGCCCAGGAACGGTTTAGATAATAATCGTCCCTTTCGGTGTTGGCCGCTAGCGGGAATCGAACTCGGGTCGCCGGGTTCGTAGCGCAGCGTAGCGCTAACCGCTGCACCACCGCTCCCCACACACACAGATACACGCACGCACATGCACACACACACAGCATAAGTTAAAATGCCAGCGCTGTTTTGATGTCATGGGCGTGAAAACTCGACCCTGCCCAAACCTGTCTGCTCCCCTGTATATCCTTTAAAAAAATTGTTGGAGCGAGTGCTGTTCTGCATAAATACCTACGTTCTGTATAGATACACAACACAGTACACACAGATCCGCCTACACTCCCACAACTGCACAGACCCACAACTGCACACACGATAATAGACAAAGATCCCCCGTATAGCCTTAACAGACTGTTAGGCCAAGTGCTGTTTTTCGTGAGCACCTATGAAGGTTGGCACAGCGCACGAGGGGGTGGGTGGCCAGCACCACGCCCGGCCGCTTTTGTCTCCCTAAGGGTGATGTTTACACACCGCACCAGATACTCATTTGAGGCTGAGTCGACCCAACTACACACCTACACTACTTCAAAGTCGCAGTGATATTTTCTAAACACGGTTCTTCAATGTAGAGACAAAAAATATAGTTCACGTGATTACTACAACAACAACGACAACTCGATTGTAACACTCGCCCCATCACTCCCATCACTCCCATCAGAGAGTGCGCGCTCAATTAAATACTGAAATCATTGGAGCTCACACCTCCTGTCGACAGCCCTGCAGGGCCAGTGGTGGAAATTCCACGTCCCTATGGCGGGTGCAAGTATGTCCATGGCACAGCCACTGTTGACTCCCCCATCACAAAGTGGTACCCCGTATTTTATCGACCCCGGAGGAATGATGGGATGATGAGTCGACCTCCACCCCCGCACCCCCATACCGCAGAGAGCCACACGTGACCTATCACCCCCCCCCCCCCCATCATCATCAGCGCCTTCCAACATCTGCAGAGCTGCGATAACAAAAGGGGGTCACCCACCCCCCTGCCCACCACCCCCCCATTGAAGTGATTACCAAAGACAAAGATCCACTGTATAGCCTCGAACAGACCGTAGAGGCAAGTGCTGTTTGCGAGCGTCTATGAAGGCCAGCACCACGCCCAACCAACCGGTTTTGTCTCCCCAGTGGCGATGTTTACTGCACACCGCACCAGGTACTCATTTCTAAGGTCGAGTCGACCTAGAGGAGGCCCAGGACCGGCTCAGATAAGCGTCATTGGTGGCCGTGAGCAGGAATCGAACTCTTGTCGCTGGGTTCGTAGCGCAGCGCGCTAACCACTGCCCGACCGCTCCCCACATTATTTTGCACACACACATTGGGGCGTACAAATACACACAACATTTAGATATACACACATAGATACACACAATATGCAAATAAACACAAATAGATACACAGTTATACATAGATGCACACAACAGACAAATATACATACATAGATACACAGGATCAAGATCATGTCATTAAAAAGCTAATGACATGATGGTAAACGAATGACAACAATAATGATGGTTATACTATCATTAAATAAAAAAAACACGAGGATATGTAATATATGGTGATGATGATAGTAATGATGATGATTATGTAACCAACGTGCGCCTTTTGGCGTCATCTGGTCCAACACCATATGAGACTAGGCTCTAAGGAAAGCTGTCGAGGGTGTGGACCAATCAATTTCAAGGACAGTGCATACATTATCAGAGTTGTGTTTCTTGTTTGCATTCCGACTGCAGGTATTGTGGTCAATGCAAACATGACTCATTGTAAAAAAAGGTGTCAGTTTTGTTGCCAGATAAAAGGGTAAAAAAACAATTATCATCAACAATACAGGGTGCTTCAAGAAAATGTGAACACTTTTGAGAATTTGCAACAACACCACGAGGAAATGTGCTGCTTTCGGGCTCTGGAGACCACCTGGAGAAGATTCCAGGCGCGCGTTGACGATGATGGCGAACAAGTGGAGACTCTTCGACTTTTTAAAGCTATTAACATTTAAAATGTTTTTATCATGTTACAGTGTATTATCCGTTCTTTTTCCATGAAGAACAATAGTCCCATATAAGTGTTAACATTTTTTTAAGCACCCTGTATAATAACACCAGGTGTATGGTGGTGGTGATAATGATGATGGCAATGATAGTAGTGATCAAGATGATAATTGTTTTTTTACCCTTTCATCTGGCAACAAAACTGACACCTTTTTTTTACGAGGAGAACATGACTCCTCGTAAAAAAATGTGTCAGTTTTGTTGCCAGATAAAGGGTAAAAAAACAATTATATTTTTCTACTGGCAAATGAGGTTCCAATGGTGCAAGATGAAGATGTATAGAAATAATGAGGCGATGATGATAATTCCGTAGCCAAGAAGTAAATAACACGATGATGATGATGATGCTGATTTCGCCACAAAGACATTCCGATGAGAATGATGACGATTATACGCAAGCAATTAAAGTGAATAATGTAATGATGGTGGGTGACAATGATGGGTAACTGATGATGATGTAACATCGTACCATCACGCAACGCCTCGGTCACCCCTCCTCCGTCCGCGGTCCATCCGCGCACCTCCTCTTTCCCTCCGGCACCCTGGGGCCCGGCTCTGTACAAATCCACCTCCTCATCCACCTGGTCATCTTCATCATCATCCACCTTGGCATCCCCGTAGCCACCATCACGGACATCGCGACGGGAGGAGGCGCCAACCTCCTTCACGGCCACCCCCTTCACGGCCTCATCGGGGCTTCGCTCCGCCCCGATCCCCTCGACCCCGAAGTCGTCCAGGCCCCCCAGGTCCCCTAGACTGGAGCCGTGGGGCCGGTACACTGCTTGCGATGGGTTGACGAGGTCTAAGATGGAATCGGCGTCATCATCGTCGTCATCTTCGTATTCATCGTTGTGGTCGGAGTCAGAGTCGTGGAGATGCCGAGGGGGCCTCTGTGAAGAGGTGCCGAGTGGGGTGGGAGACCCCTCTCCCGTGGGGTCTAAGGGGGGTGAAGAAACACGCGCGTGATGGGGGTGGTGGGGTGTGGGGTGGTGGGGGCAGTTTCCATCCCCCTGGATCCCTGAACAAAATCGGTTTTAATTTCTCATTTAAAATTTATATTGTTCGTTGTTCACCGAATGCAATTTTAACGAGTGAATCTGTGCCGGGAGATCTAAATGTCCGCTTGGAACTTTCGCCTTCCTGTGCAGTGGTCTGGACACGTGGAAAAGTGCAGTGACCTCCGATTGGCTACGCACGGTTGGCTACGTATGGTGCGAAAGAAGTTCAACGTACACACGTGTGTGGATAACAGAAAATGCAATTGTAAGTTCATGCTGTGTTTAAATGCCACACGAGAGCTCCCCCCTGTCGCTAGTGTCATGCATAACGTGGGTATTTTGTATCGCTGGCTAGAATTCCCATTGTACATAGTTATGGATTTCTATATTGTAGTCGTGTTTATGAAATTTTACCCGCTTATTGCATGCGGCCCCTTCCCGTGTAACTTGCCGGCTACCATCGCAGACGATTTGGTCGGAGGGTCGCTCTTTGGGGGAAAAAAAGAGCAGCTTTGCTCAATGGAGCCTCACCCGAAATAAACCGACTCAACTATCGCACTGATAAAGGAGGGTCACTTGAAAGGAGGCCCGGAAGCAGTTCTGCGATATCCGCTTCTGCAGGCCCGTTGCCTTTAACGCAGGGCGATGCACTGCTCTGCAAGAGATCCAAGTGGACACTTTGCCTCGTGACTCGTTGGGATACATTTGAGAAAAAGGCAAAATAAAAACGAAAAATTTATCAAGTTTTTACATTGCGTCTTCAATTGACTACATATCTGGTTTTCATCATATATGAAGTTTCTCTCATCTGTTCACATATTAAGACAATAAATCACAGGCTGCCCCATCTGTCAACACGAGCGGACTCAATAATCACATCAGCGATTTTACATTTTAAGCGTCGACATCGTTTAACCGCGCACGTGGTTTCGAGGAGATGGTTTCGAGGAGATGGTATCTCGAAGGAAGCGGTTAGGGCGACGTTGCAATGATGACGATGATAACGATGATGTTGTGTTTGGCGAATGGGCGAAGGGGGGGAGCATTGAAAGCGGGAGGCAGGAGCGAGTGAAGCATCAGAGAGGAATTTAACGGTGAAATTTCCCCGTTGAGTCTCTGAATTAATGACGATAATTACAATCATAATAACAATAACAACGCTTTGTGTAAAACAGCTGCCGGGGCTAAGAATAAAAAAAAACGTGGCTCCCATTACCAACTTCAGCTCAGCCGAAGTAATTTTACCTAATTTGAACGGCGAAAATTACAGCTATTTTGGACCATGCAGAGTCAACGTTTCAGATCTATACGATATGTAGATACGGGGTATTTAATGACAAAATCTTTCGGCAGGTCGCTCTGTGGTGGGGTAAGACGTGGGTGCTGCTACCTCTTTCACGACGCCTGCCTAGCGTGAAAAATGAGGCCAAAATATGCCCTTTCCGCCAGCAGTGGCATGAGCGGGCAATTGCAGGGCTGTGCCTTTAACGTTCTAATCAATTAATTAATCATTTGTGAATTGGGTGTCTAAAATAATCCAAAGGGCACCGATAAAACCGGTTATACGGCCGATTAATTTTCCCTCGTAAAAACCTGGCGGCACAGACGAGAGGCACGCCTTGCAAATTAATTTATTAATTTTAACCAAAAATAGTTTGACAGGATGGATGGACGGGTGGCTCTTGAGGCAGACAGACAGCCAGCCAGACGAGCAGAGGTGAGACCCAGAATGTCGAAACCGGTCCAGTGTTTTCTCGCGTAAACGAATATCTGCTGAATAATACAGGTCTGGAAAGCCATAGGCTGATGGACTAATGAGATATTTTGCACTGTATTTTTATGCGGAGATGCAGAAATAAGTTCTGCTTATGTATGATTCTACCCACGATTCTACACGGCAATACACAATGAGATTGCGTATAGACGATGAACAGATTTGCGTGTGTATTTTTAAGTGAAAGTTATTTCGCTCAATTGAACGCGAGCTGGAGTTCATCGTCTGTCCACATTCACATGGCAGGGGGAATTTAAACATGGGACAACCACAGCTGGCTTCTCACAAAGTGGTTCTGATTTTTTTGTTTATCAACCTCAGAGATATGAAGGGATGAGTTGAACCCAAACCAGCGATTGGATGAACTCAGACCGACATCTGGACAGATACATGTCACCAAGCTTTTGATAATTAATCATATACCAAATCATCATCATCAGCCATAATCTCTCAACCTGCTGGATAAAGGCCTCCCTACGTTGTTGTAATCTTTCATCGTCCTGCGATGCCATAATCCATCTCACTCCTGCACATGAGCTGATCCCAGCACTGCGGTTGTCCTGTGGGCCCTGCACTCGCTGCCATTCTGTCACCAGTCTCGTCCATCAGCCATCATCTCTTCGGGTGATGTGTCCTGCCCAAACCCTGCTTACTTTTACGAACAGTCAGACGGATAGATAAAGAGGACAGCCAGCCAGGCAGACAAACAAGCAAAGAGACAGACAGCCAAATAGACTGGCAACAGAGGCTCACACAAGCATACATACAGACAGACAAACAAACTTGCCGATGGACTGACGTACTGACAAGCAGACAGACGGAGGGACGGGCACACTGGGCACGCTGGCCAAGCATGCAAAGAGACAAGTAGAAAGGCACTCACATGGACAACAACGCTGGCATTGCAACGCAGCGCACCACGCATCGTGGATGTGCAAACGCGTGGGGCTGAATGATGAAACGTGGCATGACAAGAGAGGAACTGTGTTATACAACACAGGAATGAATTCGCGAATGAATGGTTTGAACGAATGAATGTTGTGACGGAGCAACTTGCCTTTGACAGAGAAGGATGTGGTGTCGGCAGGAGCATACGTGATGTCTGGAACACGAAACACACGCACGCACACATTCAAGCACGCAAGAGGTGTAACAATGAGCATGATGCCAACAGCATAATTACCAACACATTTCAAAGTGGTTTAAATGGCAGTAAAAGTTTTACAAAAAAATCCAAGTTGATTCCGGTTCAAGCGAGTGATGGGTTATGATTGCTATATTTTTTTCTGCACACGACGGAGATAGTGGTGGAAATTCCTCATTCCTATGTAGGGGTCCGAGTCCATCCTTAATGAGTCGACTGGTATTTATGTAGTTGAGAAGGATGCTTATCGTGAAAGTGGTGATATTATCAAATCAACGGGTGCAGAAGAGCGATGGAATCATCCGATACTGGACCTTCATGTCAATGACGGCATTTGCCTTTGGACCCGATGCAGTCCCCTTGCCGTGTCCTTTATAGAACCCTGGTTCCGAATCCTGGTCTTGTACGCTATAGAACCTTCAGATAATCCATTACAGACCCCCCATATCATCCGATACAGAACCTTCAGGTCATCCGGCACAGATCCCTCCTGAAATCCCATACAGAATCCTTATCTCATCCGATAGAGAATCTTACCCCGTGTCATCCCACACAGAACCCTCATCATATAACACGCGTACCCGCAAATATCTCGGGAGTGAGAGAATTGTGCATGTCCTGGCCTGCTCAATGACCAAACGCCATGCCAGCAACTCTAACCCCAACCACAACCACGCATCCCCTCCATCCAAAGACCCCCCCCCCCCGCTCCTCCTATACCCGCTGGGCACACTCCCCGCTATATAAGTCCGAGACAAACAAAGACAAAGATCCGCCGTGTAGCCTGCAGCAGACTGTAGGGGCAAGTGCTGTTAGCGAGCACCTATTAAGGCCGGCGAGGCATATGAGGGGGTGGGTGGCCGGCAACACGCCCGGCCGCCTTTGTCTCCCCAGTGGCGATGTTTACACACCGCACCAGGTACTACTTTGAGGCTGAGTCGACCTAGGGGAGGCCCAGCACAGGTTCAGATAATCGTCACTGGTGTTGGCCGTGAGCGTGAATCGAACTCGGGCCGCCGGGTTCGTAGTGCAGAACGCGCTAACCGCTGCACCACCGCTCCCCTGCACATCCCCACACCGCAGACTCACACACACACTGCCACGCACACACATACCGCACACACACACACCGCATACACGCACACCGCACACACACTACACACCACAAACACACACACACCGCACACACACCCGCACACACACCGCACACACACTGCACACACACCGCACACACACACAGTACACACACACACAGCACACACCACACACACACTCACACACAACCGCACACACCACACACACACAGCGCGCACACACACACCGCGCACACACACAGCACACACCACACACTCCCGCACACACCACACACACACAGCGCGCACACACACCGCACACACACACCGCGCACACACACAGCACACACACACACAACCGCACACACCACACAAAGCGCGCGCACACACACCGCACACACACACACCGCACACACACACACCGCGCACACCGCGCACACCGCGCACACACACACCGCGCACACACACACCGCACACACACCGCGCACACACACACACAGCACACACACCGCACACACACACACAGCACACACACTACGCACACACATACACACCGCACACACACACCACACCGCACACACACACCACACCGCACACACACACCGCCTCACCACACACCGCCTCACCACACACACCGCACACACACACAGCACACACACTCACCACACACACACACACCGCACACACACAGCACGCACACACACAGCACACACACACCACACACACACACACACACCACACACACACAGCACACACACACCACACACACACACACCACACACAACACACAGCACGCACACACACAGCACACACCGCACACAACACACACACACCAAACACACTCACCACACACACCCAACACACACTCACCGCACACACACAGCACACACACACCACACACAACACACACCACACACACCGCACACACACAGCACACACACACAGCACACACACTCACCACACCGCACACACACACACCACACACACACAGCACACACACACCACACACACACAGCACACACACACCACACACATACTCACCACACACACACCACACACACACCACACACACACCGCACACACACACCACACACTCACCCCACACACACACACCCCACACACACCCCACACACACACCCCACACACACACACACACCCCACACACACACACCCCACACACACCCCACACACACACACCGCACACACACTCAACACCGCACACACACTCAACACCGCACACACACACCCCACACACACACACCCTACACACACACCCCACACACACACCCCACACACACACACCCCACACACACACACCCCACACACACACTCACCACACACACACCCCACACACACACACAGCACACACACACCCCACACACACACTCACCACACACACACTCATCACACACACACCCCACACACACACACCCCACACACACACTCACCACACACACACCCCACACACACACAGCACACACCCCACACACACACCCCCCGCCATGCTGAAGACAATGATGTAATGCTGTTGCCACGGCAACCGTCATCTATGGAGACTTGGCCGCCATTGTGTTAACCCCTGGCTTGAGAAGCCGCGTGAAGAGAAAGCGAGAAATGTTATTGTCTATTAATTTATTCAAATTAGAACAGCCCGCCCAAATAATGCCGTGAGAATATAATACCTCATTCGCATATATGTCCCTACAAGTGAATTAAGATTTTTTAAAATAAAAAATATATTTTTACACATCTCTGCAATGCTGCCTAATAATAAAACAAAATGTAAATACCTCAACACATTTATCAATAACAACACTGTGGTCATTAAATTAATACAATAGGCGACGGTTTGGGCAATGGCCATTCTGCATAACGCACAAACGATAATAATGAGAAATATATTTTCTTATTGACATTATAAGGCAATTTTAACGTTCAGGGACATTTCAATATCCCTTATCGATGCACCGATTAAACTATAATAGCTCTAATTATGTGTACAGTGATGCGGATACTGCGTTGGCAGTGGTGCACAATTAACACATTTCACACACTCATCACCAACAATGCCTTCAAATATATAACGTTTCGGGCAATGATCCTTCTTCATAGCACATGGTAATTGGCCGATTCGTATAATAGCTAAATATGCATTCTTAAACTCAACAACACACGCATCATATCTCATGTCGTAATAATGTTTATTTTTTATTTTTAATGTACAAGATGGTCCAGATGTCTTGTGACCCCACATTTAATTCTCTATAAAACGTTCTATTTTTGTCAGTAAGGTTTATTTGAAACATAAATGAAAACGCAAAGAAAACATGTTTTTGTGGGTCAATTAATTGGCGGTCACGAGACATCTGGACCACCCTGGACTGTACAGTTTTGTAATGGTGCAAAGCATCACACAGCCACCTGCAGCCTCTACAGGTCCCAATATTCACTGCAATGGGAAATAAATCGAACCAATTATTATATTCTAGATATATTTCCAATATTGATCGTTCATTTCCGATTGCTGGGTGAAAGGTTCAATTTATTGGTGGCACCCACCACTGCGAAGACGGATTGAGGACATTGGCTCGCGATGGAGGCTCAATCGAGATGGATTGTGGCACTTGCAGGAGGAGGCCTTCATCCAGCAGTGGATATAGACCATGACCGAGCATCATTGGTTGGTGATTGAATGGCCAAATGAAAGTTGGCATTTATCTGCCCCAATGTCAGCAGTGTAGGGTCTCTGAGTTTGCATTACAGGACGGTGAGAGATTGGGATGCATCGGCGCGGCCTTCATCCAGCAGTGGATATAGACCATGACCGAGCATCATTGGTTGGTGATTGAATGGCCAAATGAAAGTTGGCATTTATCTGCCCCAATGTCAGCAGTGTAGGGTCTCTGAGTTTGCATTACAGGACGGTGAGAGATTGGGATGCATCGGCGCAGCCTTCATCCAGCAGTGGATATAGACCATGACCGAGCATCATTGGTTGGTGATTGAATGGCCAAATGAAAGTTGGCATTTATCTGCCCCAATGTCAGCAGTGTAGGGTCTCTGAGTTTGCATTGCAGGAGGGTGAGAGATTGGGACGGATCGGCGTGGCCTTTATCCAGCAGTGGATATAGACTATGACCGAGCATCATTGGTTGGTGATTGAATGGCCAAATGAAAGTTGGCATTTATCTGCCCCAATGTCAGCAGTGTAGGGTCTCTGAGTTTGCATTACAGGACGGTGAGAGATTGGGATGCATCGGCGCGGCCTTCATCCAGCAGTGGATATAGACCATGACCGAGCATCATTGGTTGGTGATTGAATGGCCAAATGCAAGTTGGCATTTATCTGCCCCAATGTCAGCAGTGTAGGGTCTCTGAGTTTGCATTACAGGACGGTGAGAGATTGGGATGCATCGGCGCGGCCTTCATCCAGCAGTGGATATAGACCATGACTGAGCATCATTGGTTGGTGATTGAATGGCCAAATGAAAGTTGGCATTTATCTGCCCCAATGTCAGCAGTGTAGGGTCTCTGAGTTTGCATTACAGGACGGTGAGAGATTGGGATGCATCGGCGCAGCCTTCATCCAGCAGTGGATATAGACCATGACTGAGCATCATTGGTTGGTGATTGAATGGCCAAATGAAAGTTGGCATTTATCTGCCCCAATGTCAGCAGTGTAGGGTCTCTGAGTTTGCATTGCAGGACGGTGAGAGATTGGGACGGATCGGCGTGGCCTTCATCCAGCAGTGGATTTATCGTGGCTGACTGTGACTGTCTAGGTTGGGACAGTTGTGCTATACTTATTAAGACATGAACGTCAAAACAGAGTCCAAATGTAGTATGAGCAAGTTAGGTACGGGTGCAAGTAAGCACTATATTTCA